CCGGCTGCTCAAGTTCATCCCCGGACTCAACCGCTCCCTGGAGGAGGAGGAGAGCCAGCTGTAGGGGCAGCTGTAGGTGGGCAGGGAGGTATTTATTTATTAGTAACAACCAGTGCAGAGTGTGGGAGGGAGTGCGGGCCGCAGGACCCCAGGAGCCCAGAGCAGCGGGAGAGGGTCGGGGCGGGCCCTGGCTGCCTGGTTAGTTCACAGCTTGTCTCTGCCCCTGGAGCAGAGCCTGTAGCCCAGAGCCCTTCTCTCCTGAACTCCGAGGGACTGGGGCAGGGGGAGAACAGGCAGGCTGGGCTAGAAGAAGTCTGGGGGCCAAAGATGGGTGTGCTATCCTAATCTGGGTCAGTAGTGCCTTTGTGAGTGTCCCGGTAAAACTTCCCCCGGCCAGCGTGGGGATCCTGTCCCACGAAGCCCTCTTCCTCAGCTTTATTTAGCTCCCCACCCTTAGCCTCGGGAAAAGGGGTCCACTGCTGGGCATTCCCCTCCCCACGCACTATGCCAGTGGGCCCCAAGGGGGCAAGGTGCTGGGCCCCTCCCCCAGCCTTAACCCCTAAGGGCTCAGCCCCTCTGAGGGGCCTGTAACTAAATGGGGTCCTGCTGGGCGGGGTCCTGGGTTCTGTGCCCCTTGGGAAGCAGGAATGGGCATGTTCAGGTAGGCCAGGGGCAGCACAGACTGCTCCGATGTTTTGCATTTGTTGCTTCTGAACCACAAACTGTATTAAATTGATGGTTTTTTGCATCTGTGTCAGTGTGGTGACTGTCTGAGGGGGAGGACTGGGTTCGGGCAAGCTCTGACTGCACCCACATACCTTCTCGAAACACACACTTGTGCCCACACTGTATTTTATATCCTATTTTCTTGCAGCCTGAAGCCAGAGAAATCATCTGGGGGTTTTAACCTACATGTATGGGCCACAACTGAGCCCTCTTCCCTCCTCTGAACTTGGGCCTCTGGTTTAAGTGGATCTTCAGTCTCAAATATCCGCCACGGTGGAGCAAGGCTGGTCATGTCCTTAACCATCCCATAATTCCTGTGTGAATGCTGCAGTTCCCTCTCGTTCAACACGTGAGGTCTCCCTTCCCGGACTGAAGGCACAGACTGAGGCTCCCCTTTGTTCTACACTAGAGCTAGCTCCTTAGAAACTACTCCAGGAATGAGATCTTCCACCTGTGCTGAGGTGCCTGACCCCTGCCTGTTCATCTTGTCCTGTGCTGCTGCTGGCTGTACCTGCCTTCAGACCCTCCCTCCCGTGGGGGTCCCTGCATTGGTTCCTCCTTTGGTACTTCTCCTCCACGAACCTTCTAACCAGTCAAGCATCCAGTCACCCAACTCTGACAACCCTGCTTTATTTCCATCATCTGAAATTGCCTTGACTTGAGATGGATTTTATTTGTGCTCACCTTCCCCTTAGGTCACTTGGTCCTTGCAGCAGGCCCAGTTACCTTCTGTCTTACCATTTCATTCTGCCCAGTCCTGGCTTACAGTAGATCTTCAGTGCAGTGGGTGTCACCACCTTATTTGAGGTGACCGAGGGCAAGTAGCCTGTCCAGGGTCACACAGCAAGCTAGCAGCAGAGCTGACTATGCTTGTGTTCAGTGTCCCGCCCTGGCAATAACCAGCTCAAGGCCTGGCTTCAAGAGGGTCTAAGTGGGCCCTCCCCCAGCTAGGCCTCTCAGCAGTCAGAGCAATATCTATTATAAAAGGAAATGGGATGGTTTTTGGCTCAGGGGGTATAGCAGGTGCCTAGCACATGAAGTCCTTGGGTTCAATCCCCAGAACTGAAGAAAAAAAAAAAAAAAAAGAAAAAGAAATAGGACCATGACCCCCTTGCTTAAACCCGTTATGGCTCCCCTGGAATGAAAGAGTAACATTCAAAAAACTTTTGGGTGGTACTAGAGGTTGAACCCAGGACCTTGCATGTGCTAGGCAAGCACTACCACTGAGCTACATCCAGCTCTTCCAAAAATGTTTACTTTCAGATAGAGTCTCACTAAATTCCCCAGGCTAGGCTCAGATTTTTCATCCTCCTCCCTCAGCCTCCTCAGTAACTGGGATTACAGGTATGCACCACCTTACCCGGCATGTTCAAACTACCGGGGTCTATCCATAATACCTTGCCCCTCTGATCTAATTATTAAAAGGCATCCCTCTCTCTGGGCAGACAGCAGCCACACAGGCCTAAGGACTTGTGAAGTGGCCGAGCCTCTTGCAACTCCACTGGGACCCTCCAGGATATGCTCTGCCTCTTCCCCAATCTCAAATTGTTTCTCCTTCTCTGATTCATATTATATTTAGGCCACGCTCCTCTTTCTGTCCCTAGTTCTCCAATATGCTCCTGCCCCTGACCTTTGTCTGAGCTACTCCCTCTGCCTGGAATATGCTGCTTTTCGAGATGATTCCTCATCTTCAGGTCTCCACATCACATCCTCAAAAGAGGTTGCCCTGATCCTAGCTGATGTTCCCTCTCCCATCATTCTAGATCTCTGGACTCCTATTTTCTCTTCCTTACAGTGCTTTCCTCCACTTGGTAATTATCCTAACTGCTTGTGTAGCTGTCTTTGGCCTTCATGAGGACAAGACCAGACCTTGTACCTGACACAGGCTGCTGAGGGAGGTGCTCAGTAAACCCTAGGAGGAAACCCAGGCCTCCTGGGCCAGCCCTGCCTATGGAGCCACCCTCCCGGGTGAGAAGATGGCCCCCTGTTCCATCTGTAGCTGTTGTCTGTGAGTCCCTCTTCTAAAACCCCTCTGGGGCTGGGTGGCAGCTCCAGCCAGGGCAACACCACCTGTTCCCAAAGGACACTGTTGAAGAAAATGAAGCTTCCCCAAGCTCTGTGTTTGAACAGCTGCTCTGCAGTGAGAACAAACACCGGCTCCCTGGGACCCAGGTCTAGGGGAGGGGCTGTCACACCTTTGTTCCCAAGACCCAGGGCTGCCAGGGGACCAGCTGCCTGCATACAGCTAGCACCTGACTGGCTTTCTCCAGCCCACCAGCCTGTCTCTGCCCTTGCCACACACTGGTCTTGGGAGTGATGTCTGTACCCCTCACTCAGGCTGTTGGGGATCCTGGCCAGCCCTGGGCACCCAGGGGAGGGGGAGCGTGGTCCAAGGCGGGGCAGTTCCCACCTCTCAGCGGATGAGATGACGGCACCAGCGCAGCAGCCTCCTGCCAGTGTAGGTGGGTGACAGGGAGTGACTAATGTGCGAGCTGCGATGCTAAAAATTAACCCAGGCAGAGGGGGTGGAGTGGATGAGAAGAGAGCAGGGACTCAGAATATTGCGTGGTCGGTATTCCCCCTGCCCTGCCTCCCTTCTGCCCTCCCTCCCCACCAGCCTTCTGCTGCCCTCCAGGCCTCCTGTGGGAGCCCTTCTTCCACTCCAGGCCAGAACAGTTCCAGCAGTTCCAGCAGAAGAGAGCTCACTCATGCTTGGTAGGCTGAGACCGTGGCTCTGCACATAAGGTTCAGGTCTGAGCCCTATAGCGCCCCCCAGGCCCCTTCTTCGGGCAGTTGGGGAAGTAGAGGCAGCCAAGGTACAGAGAAGAGAGAAGATTTCCATCAGCTGGCCAGAGTTGGTGGGAGGGGGGTGGCGGCTGCCCAGAAGGAAAGGACAGGAGAGGACTGTTGTGTCGAGCACCTGCTCAAACACCACTGCGCTGTGCTCGCCACTTCCACGCCCCTTGCTTCACCTGAGCCTCACAGAGCTGACAGCTGGGTATCACTTCCCATTTTATGTTTGAAGAAACAGCATTAGAGAGGGTAAGATCACAGAGCTGGTACTGGCAGAGACAGGATTTTCTCTTATGTGTCTCTAGAGCCTGGAGTCTGGCGGGAAAGGGGAGGCTTTCTGCAGGAAGCCTTGAGGCCACGGTCACAGAGATGGTGAAGAACAAGCTGAACCTGCACAGCTGTGGGACTCATTTGTGGAATAAGAGTGGGTTCAAGGGAGGCATATGAAAGGGACCTGAAAGAGCAAGGTCTGAGACTGTGCCAAATGCCAAAAGGAGATTAGGTCCAGAGGGACCAAAATTCCAGTGATGAGCTGGGTGTGTAATCCCAGCACTCACAGAAGCTGAGGCAGGAGGATCACCATGAGTTTGAGGCCAGCCTGGGCTACATAGTGAATTCAAGCCAGCCTGAACTGTGAGACCCT